CAAACTGCCCTAGGAATTTAACTGAAGGACAGGGTGAAAAATCTTGATAAATGATTAATTAAGGCTGTGGTCCTATGCATACTTCCCTGGAAGTAGTCTGTTTGAAATCAGTAGGCCTTACTTTTGAGTAGATCTAGAGAACTGTGCTGCGAGTAACTATAGCACATACTCTTAAAATAGCTTTTTCCCAGTTTAATCTTAAACCTATCTGATTTACACACACACACACACACACACACACACACACACACAGATATGAACTATAGCGCGCACTCAGCGATGCAGTTAGGTAATTTTATACTTTAGATTTTTTCTTTTACCCCCTACCTTCCGTTTGAGTTATTAATGTGTGTATAATGTATTTTGCTTGTTACAGAATATGAAGCACCGCTCCTGACACAACTCAGGCTGCTGCTGAGTGCAGCCCTGAATGCTTTTCCTTGAGTCCTGCCCTGACGGCACGGCTCCTTGTGCTCCCTGCTCCAAGCCCACTCCCCTGCTCTGAAGCCCACTCTTTGCAAAGCAGGAAAGGGAAGAGAGGAGATTTCATTTTATTGCTTTATTCCCATCCACTCCCCTTTTGCAGCATGAACCTTATGCATATAAACTCATACATAAATAAAATAAAAAGAATGCACAGCTCTAAAAAAGTAAAAAAGAACATTGAATCCTGGCTCTTCATAACTGAAACCAACTCACCTAACCAAGGTTGCTCACTCCAGCCTCCCTTTCACCCTCCCTTCATTTCTCTCTCTTTCAGTAGGCAATGTTTGTTTTGGGATATTTTCAAAGGTGAGGCTTTCATCAATTTGTTTTTCATTTTCCATATCTAGAATGTAAATTTAAAATTCCTCCACTGGCCATGCTGGCTGGGGAATTACAGGAGTGCCAGGCTCCCAGGAGATATCACATTGGGGTGGGTTGCATCCAGTTTAAAAAGGGATAACCCACTTTCTGTAACACGGTAGTGGTCTTCATTCACAGAAATGGCACCCAGGGACGTGGGGCATCTATTTTTGGGCATCAGATGTAAAAACACTTTGTCTGAACTGCAGAGAAAATGCTTCAAGTAGCCTAATAGTAAGAAAAGCAGGATTCCAGCACCAATTTCTGTTTGGTTTTCACAGTGCTGGTGATATATTTTCATGTGAGGTTGCCATTCTCCCTCCCACCTCCAATTCTATGGGTAGGAACTTCCTTGACCATGAAAGTTCAATGAAAATTCAATTCATTCTATTGGCTTTCACACTGTTTTCCAGAATCAGATGTCTCCACTGCCACTGCCTTGTCCAGATAAAAAGCTCTCACAAAGTGACTCAATAGATTAAATTATATTCGGTGTTGCTGCTGGCTGCCTTTTGAATCCAGTTGTAAGTGCTGGAGTTTATCTATCTAGGATAAACTACCAACTGTTAATAGTCAGGATGTGAGTAGCTTTGGTCTTACCTTCCTATACAGCTGTTTAACCTGGTAGGACAGTAGAATGAGATTTCAGTGGAGACCCTGTCCTCACAAACCACCCAGACATGGAAATCTTTTATGTCCCCACCACCATCAACCAAGACTGTCCATTTAGGACCACTTTTAATCAATGGAACTCAGCCACCTTCTTGATACTTACTAGTTTGGAGAGAAGAACTGATTACAGTTTAAGCTTTCTCTGTAAACTTACTGTTTATGTTGGAGAAGGATGATATCCATGGGGCACAGGGAAGAGAGGTTAATTCTTCCCTCCCTATCTGTTCATGCCTGGAAATTCCCCCCCCCCCATTTCGCATAAGTTTAGGAAAATGTACCTACTGACACTAATAGAAAGTTTCTTCCTCACCCTTTCCTGCCTCCGCTTAAATTGCCAGATTTGGAAACCAGACTTTCTGCAGTTTGCAGCACATAATGGGGGGATAATTAACCTTTCCTGGTCCTGGTATAAGCCCTCCCCCTCCCCCCACCTAGCGTGAAGCTTATGGGGAAAAATCTATTGGCATCAGTGAAAATTTAAGGAAAATTGATTCAGGGAAGAGGCCTCATTGACCTGTGCCTTGCAAAACCCCGGCTTCTTACAGACACGGCTTTGGATTAGGCTACAAGAGTTTCAGACAAATCTCCATCTTTGGCCTGAAAAGTTGTTTTTCCTAACCAAAGTTCGACTGGCCAGGGGACTATCAGAACAGGGCATTAACTTGTGCTTAAACGGTGCACCCCATTTAGCTTTCCTGAGCCTGCTGGAGATGTTTTAGAGCACCATGTTCATATCTCCAGGCATTCCTAGCCCAAAGTACCTGGATTGTTGCTGCTCTTTGGCTCTGCTGCTTGCTACATCACCTGACATCAAGCTGTATTTTTTGGTTTATCACAAGGTAAATGGATGGTAATGACTTTAGAAGCACTTGGGAAGCACCACACTGCATTAAGCCAGTAGTCCCTACAGCCCAGCCTCTGCCGTCTGACACGGCCAACCCAAACTGATACTTTTGTAAGGTTCAGAAGCAGAACATGCTGAACTATCCACATGCTGAAATATTCATCCCCAGCATTTGATAATCATGCTACAAATAACCTCAACAATGAAGATGAGAGTTTTTGCTGTCCTAGTCAGTAGCTACCAGTGGACTCCATCGATCCAATAGGGGCTAAGTTCTGATGTCCATCTATCATCTCCAGCTATGAAGATTCTTATAAAGGTTGCCGGACTAGATGGACTTTGGTCTGATCCAGTCAGGTTTTGCTTATATTTGTCTAACTATTTATACCTCACCTTTCAGGCCTAAAGTTCATGCTAAGTGCAAATGCAATTTACTTCTTCAAAACTGGAAAAATAAGTAAATTTCCAATTATTTGATTTGTAAGATTTAAATTGGATTTGTAGACCAATTCAGTTTAAGAGACTTCCAGTATTCTTTTTAATATCATTTCTCCTTGGAAGATAATATCACCTGCCTTTTACAGAGTGGATCACTAAACTATATCACTATTAGAATCTCCTCTTACAACTCTATGGTGGTGGTGGTGGTGGTTTTAATTAAATTATGATAAATATTGTCTTCAAAATAAGTATTTCATCCCAAATTAGATTTCCACTTACAGAGTTTCCTACCCTGAAATCTTGTTTCTGGGGCTGGCTGTACCACTTTGCATCCATCATACCCTTCAGGTCCAATGGTGGGTACTGGTCTGATTACTAGGGAACTTCCCCACATCAGAACTGAGTGCTAAACACAGTGCTAAGACCCTGTGAACACAGCACAATTATTTTTGGATACACGAACTGAATTGAACTGTAGGGTTACAGACACATGGAGACTCTGAAGATGGAAGCTTCACATGACTCAGATGAACTGTCCTCAACTGTTGCCTTTCAGTTGTGTTATGATTACAATTTCCAGAATTCTCAAGTCTTCTAGTATTGGCATTGTTGACCCTGAATTAGGTGCTAGGGAAAGAGCCTGCAAAACTGGGAAGGGCAAAAAGTTGTTTGGGAGGCACATGGCCATTCCTGCTCCCCTGTGAAGCCATATAGTGTATGTGCAAATCCCACAGAGAGGCATAAAAAGCATGGTTCCAAAGCATTGCCTACTCAAGATAAGAGAGAGTGATGCTTCACCAGGTTTCTACTCAGTATCCATACAGACAGCTGGAGCCTGGGGCACTGGGTCAGCCTTCCCTATAAGGAGCCTTCCCTGCTCAAGTGCATTGCTTTAAAACCTCCATTAGCCCCTAGCAGATTATGGGAGTTGTAGTCCAAGACATCAAAGAAGCATTGGTCTGAAGAAATTGCTGGGCTTGGAAATGGGGGTCTGAATGAAGGAGCCTCATCCAAGCCCTTCCACTGAATAGCTTGGTTTTATTTTTCAGGTTATTCTATTTGACAGCCTGGTTGAGATAGGCTAAAATAGAGAAAGGACTTGATATAGATCATACCGGG